TGAGTTGAGTGCTGTGTCTGCTTGTTGAATGTTGTGTCTGTGATAAAGCGAATCTCGGCTAAATTGTTGGTGTTTGTGTTGGGATTATGTATTGGATCGGTTCAGGTAGTGCTTTGCTTTTTGGTTATTTTTATTATTCAGTTTTTATTTTAGAACCTGTGGAAATGAAATAAATATACAGCGATTACAATGGATGAGGATTCAAATAAGGTGAGTAAGGTTTGCATAGTCAATAAATACTTTTTACAAAAATACTGCGGAATGGGGCCCCTTTTTTTGTAAACCGTAACCTCTTTTTTTCATACCTACAAATCTCGTATTATTATTATATTACTTATTATGATTTTACGATAATATTTTAGTTAGGATCAAAAATATCGTGAACCGTTTGGTAGGTAATGTCCAGAAAGAAAGTGGCTACGACGGGGAATAATTATTATAATAAAAATACAGAACTACTCCCTGATTTTGTTTTTGTTCCAGGTGACAATATAAGTAGCCTCTGTGGTATCAGCCAATACCTATTTCGTCCTGTGTGTCAACCAATCTAAAATTTCGCTTTTTTTTTCTGTTTAGAATTTTTATTTATTTTGCTTTGAGATATTACTTTTTACGTTTTGTTTTTCACCTAAGTATATTTTTTTATTGTGAGTATTATATAGATATACATAATATACCTACCAACCTTTTTATTTTGTTTTCCAAAAACTTGTACTTTTATTCATAATAAAATATCTACCTAATATATTATGATTATGGGTTTCAGGCACAAATTTTAACAGCTTGTTTTTAGAACAAGCTGTTAGAGTTTATGCAGTAGCAACATTACTTTTTTATTGCAGTAAAGTGGCGAACCCAATATATTTGTAATAAAAATGCAATATTGCAGTAAACTTACTAATAAATTGCAAGTAACCCTAAGGTATATTTGAATTTGTAACCTTACACTCGTAAGTTTGCTGAAGTTTTGATCTAATATTCCAGTAATATTGCTGAAAGGTTATCATTCATAAACCTTGCATTTGTAATATTACCCTAAGGTTGTTTCAGTACTTGCCGCAATACTGCGTCAACATTACAGTAAACTTCAATATAACCTTACAAGTTTGCAGTGTAATGTTACCTCATTATTACTGTAATCTTATTTTGTTCAGTGGGGTACAATTTTGCAGCTGCGAAACTATTGAAGCTACATTGAAATCATCCAGAAGAGGTTTGTAGAGAATTTGATTGGCTTCAATTCGACCCAAATTACATCAAGATCAGATCAAAATTAACAAAGTTATGACACAGAGTGTGTAATTTTAATAGAAATCTAATGTTACATAATTTTGCAGCTGCGAAACTATTAAAGTTACATTGAAATAATTCACAAGAGGTTTGTAGAGAATTTAATTGGCTTCAATTTAAGCTTAATTGCTTCAAGATCGGATCAAAATTAACAAAGTTATGACACAAAGTGTGTCATTTTGATAGAAATTTAAGTCACACAAATTTGCAGCTGCGAAACTATTGAAGCTACATTGAAATCATTCACAGAAGGTTTGTAGAGAATTTGATTGGCTTCAATTTGACCCAAATTACATCAAGATCGGATCAAAATTAACAGAATTATGACACAAAGTGTGCTATTTTGATAGAAATTTAAGTCACACAATTTTGCAGCTGCGAAACTATTGAAGCTACATTGGAATCATCCACAGAAGGTTTGTAGAGAATTTAATTGGCTTCAGTATAAGCCTAATTACATCAAGATCGGATCAAAATTAACAGAGTTATGACACAAAATGTATTATTTTGATAGAAATCTAAGCTAGACAATTTTTCAGCTGCGAAACTATCGAAGCTACATTGAAATCATCCACAGAAGGTTTGTAGAGAATTTGATTAGCTTCAAATTAAGCCAAATTACATCAAGATCGGATCAAAATTAACAGAATTATGACACAAAGTGTGTTATTTTGATAGAAATTTAAGTCACACAATTTTGCAGCTGCGAAACTATTGAAGCTACATTGAAATCATCCAGAAGAGGTTTGTAGAGAATTTGATTGGCTTCAATTCGACCCAAATTACATCAAGATCAGATCAAAATTAACAAAGTTATGACACAGAGTGTGTAATTTTAATAGAAATCTAATGTTACATAATTTTGCAGCTGCGAAACTATTAAAGTTACATTGAAATAATTCACAAGAGGTTTGTAGAGAATTTAATTGGCTTCAATTTAAGCTTAATTGCTTCAAGATCGGATCAAAATTAACAAAGTTATGACACAAAGTGTGTCATTTTGATAGAAATTTAAGTCACACAAATTTGCAGCTGCGAAACTATTGAAGCTACATTGAAATCATTCACAGAAGGTTTGTAGAGAATTTGATTGGCTTCAATTTGACCCAAATTACATCAAGATCGGATCAAAATTAACAGAATTATGACACAAAGTGTGCTATTTTGATAGAAATTTAAGTCACACAATTTTGCAGCTGCGAAACTATTGAAGCTACATTGGAATCATCCACAGAAGGTTTGTAGAGAATTTAATTGGCTTCAGTATAAGCCTAATTACATCAAGATCGGATCAAAATTAACAAAGTTATGACACAGAGTGTGTCATTTTAATAGAAATCTAAGTTACATAATTTTGCAGCTGCGAAACTATTGAAGTTACATTGAAATAATTCATAAGAGGTTTGTAGAGAATTTAATTGGCTTCAGTATAAGCCTAATTACATCAAGATCGGATCAAAATTAACAAAGTTATGACACAAAGTGTGTCATTTTGATAGAAATCTAAGTCACACAATTTTGCAGCTGCGAAACTATTGAAGCTACATTGAAATCATCCAGAAGAGGTTTGTAGAGAATTTGATTGGCTTCAATTTGACCCAAATTACATCAAGATCGGATCAAAATTAACAGAATTATGACACAAAGTGTGCTATTTTGATAGAAATTTAAGTCACACAATTTTGCAGCTGCGAAACTATTGAAGCTACATTGGAATCATCCACAGAAGGTTTGTAGAGAATTTGATTGGCTTCAATTTGACCCGAATTACATCAAGATCGGATCAAAATTAACAGAATTATGACACAAAGTGTGCTATTTTGATAGAAATTTAAGTCACACAATTTTGCAGCTGCGAAACTATTGAAGCTACATTGGAATCATCCACAGAAGGTTTGTAGAGAATTTGATTGGCTTCAATTTGACCCAAATTACATCAAGATCGGATCAAAATTAACAGAATTATGACACAAAGTGTGCTATTTTGATAGAAATTTAAGTCACACAATTTTGCAGCTGCGAAACTATTGAAGCTACATTGAAATCATCCAGAAGAGGTTTGTAGAGAATTTGATTGGCTTCAATTTGACCCAAATTACATCAAGATCGGATCAAAATTAACAGAATTATGACACAAAGTGTGCTATTTTGATAGAAATTTAAGTCACACAATTTTGCAGCTGCGAAACTATTGAAGCTACATTGGAATCATCCACAGAAGGTTTGTAGAGAATTTGATTGGCTTCAATTTGACCCAAATTACATCAAGATCGGATCAAAATTAACAGAATTATGACACAAAGTGTGCTATTTTGATAGAAATTTAAGTCACACAATTTTGCAGCTGCGAAACTATTGAAGCTACATTGAAATCATCCAGAAGAGGTTTGTAGAGAATTTGATTGGCTTCAATTTGACCCAAATTACATCAAGATCGGATCAAAATTAACAGAATTATGACACAAAGTGTGCTATTTTGATAGAAATTTAAGTCACACAATTTTGCAGCTGCGAAACTATTGAAGCTACATTGGAATCATCCACAGAAGGTTTGTAGAGAATTTGATTGGCTTCAATTTAAGCCTAATTACATCAAGATCGGATCGAAATTAACAAAGTTATGACACAGAGTGTGTCATTTTAATAGAAATCTAAGTTACATAATTTTGCAGCTGCGAAACTATTGAAGTTACATTGAAATAATTCATGAGAGGTTTGTAGAGAATTTAATTGGCTTCAGTATAAGCCTAATTACATCAAGATCGGATCAAAATTAACAAAGTTATGACACAAAGTGTGTCATTTTGATAGAAATCTAAGTCACACAATTTTGCAGCTGCGAAACTATTGAAGCTACATTGAAATCATCCAGAAGAGGTTTGTAGAGAATTTGATTGGCTTCAATTTGACCCAAATTACATCAAAATCGGATCAAAATTAACAAAGTTATGACACAAAGTGTGTCATTTTGATAGAAATTTAAGTCACACAATTTTGCAGCTGCGAAACTATTGAAGCTACATTGAAATCATCCACAGAAGGTTTGTAGAGAAATTAATTGGCTTCAATTTAAGCCTAATTACATCAAAATCGGATCAAAATTAACAAAGTTATGACACAAAGTGTGTCATTTTGATAGAAATCTAAGTCACACAATTTTGCAGCTGCGAAACTATTAAAGTTACATTGAAATAATTCACAAGAGGTTTGTAGAGAATTTAATTGGCTTCAATTTAAGCCTAATTATATCAAGATCGGATCAAAATTAACAAAGTTATGACACAAAGTGTGTCATTTTGATAGAAATCTAAGTCACATAATTTTGCAGCTGCGAAACTATTGAAGTTACATTAAAATCATCCACAGAAGGTTTGTAGAGAATTTGATTGGCTTCAATTTAAGCGTAATTACATCAAAATCGGATCAAAATTAACAAAGTTATGACACAAAAAAGGTAATCTTCGAAGGGTCAAGCCTCGGCAAGATCTAAAATAAGCGTTTTCCTCCCTTCAAAGTAGAAAACGCTGCTAAGTGGTTCTTACTTCCCAGTTACCAAACTTCTTGGGTGTACTAACCCAACCTACAAACCACCACGTGTTCTGAGCATCCTCCTAAATTCCAATACCAGGAATTTACAGTATCTGCAGTCTGAAATAGTAATTATAACACTAACTCTACTATGGGGGAATTAAAACACAAAAAACCACATATAAGAGTTAAAAATTAATTTAATTTCTATCTATAAACAATCAATTTTTTGGTAATTTACATTAACTCTTATCGAATTTATGAAAAACTAGATTTGAATTCAAAAAAATTATAACGAAAAAAGGCAGTAAAAATAATTTCTATATACATAGTATAAAAGAAAACTATACAAACAAAAAAAGAAAAACAATAATGTTGTTGGGTATAGTTGTTTTTGAATGCAGCAGAAAATCTAAAGCCGCGTACATACCAAGGCCAATAGCAACATAGTTCACATGTGTCCTTGGCTAGCGTTGAAAATTCAGTCTGTACGCGGCTTTAAGGCTGCTTCATTTTCAAATCAACAAACCAAACTTATTTATTATTAAATCCAGTCTTGGATGTTGAAGCAAATAATTGTTTTTGATCCACTGGATGGTAGCCGAAAGCCCCACTAAAACTCGTCCTTTCTTTACTAGCAGCTGCGCTATTTTGACTGGAAGAATTCGAATAATTTTTGTTGATGGCTATCACTGACACTGCAGGATTGGAAATTTCACCTTTTGAAGGCGAAGACAGCTGCTGCAAGGCTTTAAGGCTCTCCATGACTTTTTGGACATCGTCAGGGTCGTTTTGTAAATGATGATTGGTTGTGACGCTCAAATTTGGAAATTTCTCTTTTAGTTTTTGAAATTGCTGACTGCTTTTTGGGGTATCGGTGAGATCGATTATTTGGCAGTGCGTGTTAGGATGTATCACAGATGATTCGTCTTTTATTTTGCTGCTACCTAAAACTATCACTCCATTGTCAGCGTGGTTTTTCACTTTTTCCGGTACAATTATCGTTTGCACTATTTTATCTTGTCTGACTTCGTTTAGTTTTGGACCTAAATTCAAAGGTTTTACGTTGTTGCTTGGGGCTTTTTGTTGTTTGCCAATAAGGAGTTTGGGATCGGGGGTTTTCATTGGGACGCTATTGAAGAATTTCTTTAGGACTGCCATTGACATCCAACCGTCGGGCCATAAGCCCAAAATTTCCGTTTTTAAATAGTCGATTAGTATGTTTTCCAAGGCGGTTTTAGGTTGGCCTTCGTGTATAAAGCAACGTCTTTTGCTGGTAACTATGTCCCTGAGAATTTGCCTGGAGGGAAAATAATTTTTAATTTATAGGGGTTTTATACTGAGTCAAAAGACGTTTGGTAAAAGGCGCCTTATGAGAATAAATCTGCTACTTACTTCATATCCTCGTGTAATGGAAATCTTCTTCTAGGCATGTTTAGTTGTTTGATTGTCTCATTGTCAGACACTTCTTGAGACAGCCTGTAATGGAAATTGCATTGAAATTTTCAGCATCTGTAGCTTTTATCAAGCTCTAGAAATTACAATATTCTCAGGTTTATAGTTTTTGAGAAAATTGAGTTTGAAGTTTTTGACAAAATTTGGGTTAAAAATCAACTTTGAGGCTCAATTTCTCAAAAACTATTCAAGCTATCTAACTCAATTTTGCATGGATTTATAGAGAATTTAATGCTCTTTCCAATGGTATATAGTTTATTTCAATTCGCCAAAACTTTAACAAAGATATGGGCAATTGTTCATGACCATGTCAAAATTTTGAAAATTTCCGAGAGCCCAAAAAAAGGATTTTCTTTTTATTTCAGTTTCTGCTGAAAATGGCCATTTGAAAATGATGTCAGGGTTATTTTCCACTAATTTTGGCCCACTCTTTCGATTGGTAAAGTCAAAATTGAGCAAAACTGGAAAATTATAAAATCGAGTTTTTCATAAGGGTATCCCCTTTGAATTCTGATTTCAAAATATTCAAACCTCAACTACTGGGTAACCGTTGAGCAAATTGCATCGAAATTTTCAGCATTTGTAGCTGTTCTCAAGCTCTAAAAGACCTGTAATTTACAATATTCCCAGGTTTATAGTTTTTGAGAAAATTGAGTTTGAAGTTTTTAACAACATTTAGACTAAAAATCAACTTTGAGGCTCAATTGCTCAAAAACTATTTGAGCTATCGAACTCAATTTTGCATGGATTTATAGAGAATTTAATGCTCTTTCCAATGGTATATAGTTCATTTCAATTTGCTCAAAATTTAACAAAGATATGGGCAATTGTTCATGACTGTGTCAAGATTTTGAAAATTTCACAGAGCTAAAAATAGGATTTTCTTTTTATTTCAGTTTCTGCTGAAAATGGCCATTTGGAAATCATGTCAGGGTTATTTTCCACTAATTTTGGCCCACTCTTTCGATTGGTAAAGTCAAAATTGAGCAAAACTGGAAAATTATAAAATCGAGTTTTTCATAAGGGTATCCCCTTTGAATTCTGATTTCAAAATATTCAAACCTCAACTTCTCGGTAACCGTTGAGCAAATTGCATTGAAATTTCCAGCATTTGTAGCTCTTATCAAGCTCTAAAAGACCTGTAATTTACAATATTCCCAGGTTTATAGTTTTTGAGAAAATTGAGTTTGAAGTTTTTAACAACATTTAGACTAAAAATCAACTTTGAGGCTCAATTGCTCCAAAACTATTTGAGCTATCGAACTCAATTTTGCATGGATTTATAGAGAATTTAATGCTCTTTCCAATGGTATATAGTTCATTTCAATTTTCTCAAAATTTAACAAAGATATGGGCAATTGTTCATGGCCATGTCAAAATTTTGAAAATTTCCGAGAGCCCAAAAAAAGGATTTTCTTTTTATTTCAGTTTCTGCTGAAAATGGCCATTTGGAAATGATGTCAGGGTTATTTTCCACTAATTTTGGCCCACTCTTTCGATTGGTAAAGTCAAAATTGGACAAAACTGGAAAATAAAAAAATCGAGTTTTTCGTAAGGGTATCCCCTTTGAATTCTGATTTCAAAATATTCAAACCTCAACTACTGGGTAACCGTTGAGCAAATTGCATCGAAATTTTCAACATTTGTAGCTCTTATCAAGCTCTAAAAGATCTGTAATTAACAGTATTTTTAAGTTTATAGTTTTTGAGCAAATTGAGTTTGAAGTTTTCGACAAAATTTGGATTAAAAATCAACTTTGAGGCTCAATTGCTCAAAAACTATTTGAGCTATTGAACTCAATTTTGCATGGATTTATAGAGAATTTAATGCTCTTTCCAATGTTATATAATTTATTTCTATTTGCTCAAAATTTACCAAAGATATGGGCAATTGTTCATGACTGTGTCAAGATTTTGAAAATTTTCCAGAGCTTTGGAATATGATTCGCAAAAAATTTAGTTTTGTTCGCGATATAGATTCGAAACATTCCAGTTCTTTGTTCGAGATTCAACTAGAATTAGTTCCGGATCGACTCCGAACCAGTTTGCAGCTGATTTAGAACTACGAATTTGGAATCAGTTTATGAAAAGAAAAAGGATTCTATTTCATTGGGAACATTTTCGGAACTTACTCTAAACTTAAGAATGTTCCCGGATCACTAAATTCCAAATTTTAAATTATTATTCTACTCTAGTTCTATCAGTTCTAAATCGCTCTAAAGCGCTCTGAATTAGTTCCGAACAAATTCGGAATATGACTCGCAAAAAAACTAGTTTCGTTGGCGATAAAGATTCAGAATTGATTCGGAACCAGTTCTTTGTTCAAGATTCAATTAGAATCAGTCCCGGATCGATTCGGAACCAGTTTGGAACCGATTTAGCTCAAATCTTTAAGCTCTTTGTTCGCGGTTCTATTTCTACTTATGAATTAGTTCGAGCGGTTTAAAGTCGAAAGAAAGCACTATTTGATCTATATTTGACAGAGTAAGAAAGAACGCTCCGTGCTAGATCTCAGAGTATTCCATTGCCAAGTCGAACATGTAAATCTCACTGAGAGCAACGCTCGGTTTCAAACCGAACATGTGAATCCGTTTTGGATCGCTTTTTCATCAAGCTGGTGCAGTTATGAGGCAAAAGTTGAAAGCACTTCTAATGTTCAGTGGATGGGAAACTAGGAGCTAAGAGAAAAAACATGCTCTGGAGCTAAATCCATTGAACGGCTATTGTAATAGAACACAAAAATCCACTCAAGAACCGCTGAAACTTAATTTTTAGGACATTTTACCAAGAAATGTCCCTACTCTATCTTAACGGAGATTACATTTATCTGTTACACTGTTTGCGGATCACATTTCGAACACATTCGTGATTAGAAATCAGTTCACTATTCTATTTTACCGCTTTCGGAACTAGAATCAAAAACTTGGAACTTTCTACTTACTTGCACTTAAAATATAGAACTTACTCCGAACCATATAAGGTTTGCGGACCACTTTAATTCCTAATTTTCATCGGCTAAATTAACTCCGAACAGATTCGGAATGTGATTCGCAAAAAAAAAACAGTATTTTTCGTTCGCGATTCAGAACAGATCAAACTATTTGCAGGCCTAGTTAAATTAGTTCTTTCGTGAATCGTGAATTCCGAATTTCCAGTTCGTTATTCAAGGTTCAAACTAGAATCGGTTCCAAGTAGTTCTGCCAGTTCCAGAAATTTACCAGAAACCTTGGAGTTCGAGAAATGCTCAGAGTTCTCATTTCCTGTTCCGGAATCGTTCTTGATAAAATAGAATAGTGAACTGGTCGGCGACAGACCAGATTTATTTGTAACAATCAGGACAATCCAAAATAAGATCGGCTAATAAATTCCTGGAACCCTGGACCTGGAACCGATTCTAGTTGAATGGCGAACACAGAACAGTACAACTTGAGAGTTACTTTCTATGGATTTAGAATCACTAACTTTTGAATTTCTTATCTAATATTCCTAAGTTCCTGGATCACTAAATTCCAAATTTTGAGTTACAGTTCTTTGTTCCCGGTTCCGGATCTGCTCTAGTTCTATCGGTTCTAGGGATTTTAGATGTAGTGCTCTGAATTAGATCCGAACAGATTTGGAATGTTATTCGCAAAAAAATTAGTTTCGTTCGTAATAAATTGAAACTGATTTAGAACCAGTTCTTTGTTCGAGATTCAATTAGAATTGAATCTGAAACAGTTCTGTCGGTTCCAGGGTTTTATGAAAAACTTTGGAGTTCAAGAAATACTCAGTACTCCGGAACCATTTCTGGTGCGATAAAATCCTGAACTAATCATATTTATTAAGCATTCTAGAACAATCCTGGATTAGTTTCAAATTGGTTCGGAATCTGCTTCGCTAGCGGATCATTAGAACAGGTAGAACTACTCCAAATTTTATTGAAAACCCATTCACAATGAACTGTGATTAAAAACTACAAGATTCTGAGTTCTGAATATTTATAGACAACTTTAGAGTTAAATTTCAAAGAGCGCTTGTACTGAAAAACGTGCACTGGGACTGTAATTCATTAAACAAAAATAATAGAACTACTAATAGAAAGTAATTTTGTCTTGTTCTAACAATTAGGACAATTCAAAATGGTTCGGAACGGGGCCGGCTAACGAATCCCGGAACCGATTCTAGTTGATTCGCGAACACAGAACAGAAACTTAGTGATTCTCAGTTCTTAAAGCCTTTGAAAGTCACTGTTCAAGGATTTAGAACGCAGATTCATTGTCATTAACTTTACTGTTTAATCACAGTTTATTGTTCATGGTTCAACTAAAATAGGTTCCGAATCGATTTTGGAGTAGCTCTCCTTGTTCTAATGATCCATTACTGGAGCACATTCTGCACCATTATGGAACTGATCTAGGATTGTCCTAGAATGCCTAATAAATGTGATCCAGTTTAGGATTTGATTGCATCAAAAAACGATTCCGGAGCAGGGAATGAGAACTCGAAGGCTTCTTTGCGCTAAATTTAGAACATTTTGAACTTTATAAGGGGTTCGTTTGTATTAGCCCTACCTGCTCGAAAAATTAGGAAGACTGCTAGCATTGTCGGAACAAGAAGTTGGAAACTTGGAACTTTTTCTTGCGCTTACAGAACTTACTTTGAATCTTATAATGTTCTCGTGTCACTAAATTCCGAAATTTTAATTACAGCTGTTTGTTCCCAGTTCTAAATCTACTCTAGTTCTAAGAAACTAACTCCGAACATATTCGAAATGTGATCCGCAAAAAAAGTGTTGTTTGAGATAAAGACTTAGAACGAATTAAACCAGTTCGTTGTTCGAGATTCAACTAGAATCAGTTCCGGTTCTACTCCGAACCAGTTTACGACTGATTTAGGATTACGAATTTAGAATCAGTTTAGAAAAGGAAAAAGGATTCGATTTCACTGGGAACATTTTCGGAACAAGAAACTTAAAACTTGGAACTTTCTCTTGCGCTTAGAGAACTTACTCTGAACTTTATAATGTTCCTGGATCACTAAATTTCG